AAAAATGTGACCATCTGGGAACCCCGGCTTACAGTGCAAGGGAGAGATTCTCAACCACGCCCACTTCAGGCTCCTTGATCTCTTTCCGGTACAGAAATTCCGAGGTTGTAAGCCGTTTCTCACATCCGCTAGTCCTGGCAATGTGACTGGTGATATTGAAAAGAGAGAGAGGAAGTTGCATAGCTCTTATTTAAGGAAGTACACGCCCAGTGACCCTGTGAGGGGCTTTATGAATTCTGCCCGCAGAGTAGCCTAAGGAAACTGTTCACATTCAGTTGGGGGTTTAAATGTAACGGGTGACACAGGAAAGAGAGAGGTGAGGAGAGAGAGAGAGAGAGAGAGGAAGTTACCAAGAATCTATTTAAGGAAGTACACGCCCAGAGACCCTGTGAGGTGCTTTATGAATTTTGCCTGTAGTCTAGCGCAAGGTCCTAAAGTGTTCACATTAACTTGGCAATTTGAATGTGGCTGGTGACACAGGAGAGATAGAGGGAGAGTAGGAGGAGAGAGAGAGAGGAGGAGAATGAGAGAGAGAGGAGAATGAGAGAGAGGAGAATGAGAGAGAGGAGAGAGAGAGAGGAGGAGAATGAGAGAGAGAGGAGAATGAGAGAGAGAGGAGAATGAGAGAGAGGAGGAGAATGAGAGAGAGGAGGAGAGAAAGAGGGAGGAGAGAAGAAAGAGAGGGAGAGAGGAGGAGAGGGAGAGGAGGAGAAGGAAAAAGAGAGAGGAGGAGGAGAATGAGAGGGAGGAGAGAGACAGGGGGAGAGAGAGAGGAGGAGAAGGAGGGAGAGAGGGAGGAGCGAGAGGAGGAGGAGAGAGAGGAGGAGGCGAATGATAGAGAGAGGAGGAGAATGAGAGAGAAGAGAGAGAGAGGAGGAGAAGGAGGGGAGAGGGAGGAGAAAGAGAGAGAGGAGGAGAAGAAGAGAGAGAGGAAGTTGCATATCACTTCTTAGTACACGCCCAGGGACCCTGTGAGGTGCTTCATGAATTCTGCCCGGACTATAGCACAATGTTTAAAGAAATTCTTCACATTCCCTTAGTAGTGTCAATGTAACGGTGACACAGGAAACAGAGAGGAAGTTACACAGAACTCATTTAACCCCTTACTGCCGGCTCCTGACCATGTGATCACTGTGATTGGGAGCACCTCCTACTGCCGCCTGATTGTAGTCAGTCCCCAGGTCAGTGACAGGTTGGTCATAGTGCTGGGGGCACCGAGTGAGCGCGCGCTGGCTATACGCGTAGGTTAAAGCCTACCATCCCCCCCACCACATCTGTGTAAGGCCATCAGAAGTGTCCCCCCAGTGACCCTGTTGGGTGCTTTATGAACTATGCCCGGACCGGATGGGAGTGAACCTTCTGACTTTACCGCAGCTGAAGTGTTTGCCGGACGTCATTTTGCCGCCGCCGCTCCTCAATTGACTTCATTTAGCCACCTCGTCATCCGAAAATCAATATCCTGCCATTTAATTAGACCAGGTGGTCCTAAGTGACAGCAGCGGGCTGAAGAGGAGGTTCTGAAGAGTCCTCGTTCGCTGATCCCGTCTATTAATACCGCGGCCCCCGGCTGGCAGGCAGCTGTGACATGCGGCTGAAATAAGGCCGGCCCGGGCCGCGGATAAAGTGTGCTTCATACCAAGCGCGTATCATTACACCTCCGATACGGGCAGCGCCGCGACCTTTCCTGACCCCACCTGTTCGCCGGCGCCCCCCCTGAAAACCCATCGCCGCTCTGACGTCAGATCCCATCGCGGCGGAGCCGACGGCAGAAATAAAGTTTTCGGTGCAACTTTGTATCTTTTTTTTTTTCGGTATTCACATTCCGGTATTAAAGTCCAATTTCATTATTTTGAGGGCAATCAATTGCAGTGAAAGCGACAAAAAAAAAATCGATCCGCCATTAAAATCGGCAACGTGTACGGTATTGATGGCAAATGCGATCGATCGGAATCGGATCATTAAAGGCGATCAGTTCTCTCGAACATTTGTTCCATCGTTCAGAAACAATGTGTCAAAAATGATCATGTGACCGTATTGATTGTATTGTGATCGGCTGTCCGACACACACACAAAGGATCAATAAGATTCCGCCACGATCAATCGACTTGCCATAGCCAATCGGGAGCTCACTAGATTGATCGATTGGAGTGTCTGGCCGGTTTCCGATTTTGATCGATTGATCGGTCATAGTGACACGGGTGTTGTCACCTTTAAAGGGGAACTATAGACACAACGATTCATTTTTGGATAGAGTACGGAAGGGGTTAAAACTCTTTTTTTGGGGGGCTCTCTGTATCGTAATGTGAGTTTTCCCCTCACTTCCTGTACTAGAGACACAACAGGAAGTAAGAGGAAAGTGGGCGGGGACGTCTCTTAGTTGAGGTGTCCCCGTTGGATACAGAGAGCCCATAAAGAGAGTTTTAATCCCTCCGGCTATTGATCTCCTTTAAACCCGCCGGGTGAACGTCCCCTACTCTCTCACCAAGATGGCCGCCGGCAGGCGTCAATGAGATGACCGCGCATGCGCCATGACGTCACGGCGGGCTGTCCTCTGGACGCCCCTGGTCGATACGGCTAAAATGATCAACGAGGCTGATAAGTCTTTAAGCCTTCCCTACTCCATCCGAAACCGCCGGGACAGGAAGTCGCAGACCGCAAATGAAAACATTCTTCCTCTCTAATAAAAAATGTGTCTTTGTGTGTCCCGGTCGGAGAGATTTACCCCCACTTCCTGTCCCGATTGTGGAGAAGTGTCCCCAACGCACCCTAATATGTGAGAAGCGGTGCG